CTAATTACTTGTATAGCAAGTTAGGTGATTTGACATTTGCGCTGCTTTAAATTAGATATTCATGCATTACTACCTTTCTGTATGCAAACAAACTAATTCACGAATTGTGCTGTCTTTCGCATTCGAATATCTTCTTTTCACTTTCCTGTACTGTTTTGCTGACTAAAATGTGTGAATTTCTCATAGCATATAAATGTGACATTACGCCAGCTGATGGTATCGTCAATTTTGATGAATATATAAAGAAATAGTGACTGATCTAGTCCTATATATCTGCCTAATCAATTCGTTGCCATCTAATCTGCAATGCTTGTTCGCCACTAAAGCTTCAAAGCTTCTTCAAAAATAGTGCGACTCTATTATTACAGTTTACTAATTAGTTTAGTTTAGTCTTTAGTTTTACTCCCCCGCCTTCCATAAAGGCAAATACAGACATGGAAATTCTAGGTTCTCCCGAACATTCCGTCGATCATACAATCATAAAATCCCGTACAATAAAGGACACAATGCATTTCCAGCACTTGTTGCAACTTTTAATTCTCCTTCTTATGGTTATAATTTCTAGTCATAATCTCCTAATCATAAATCCTCTAGATAAATGCTAGAATTTTTCACAATTCGTTTCTCTCTGATCAAAGTTTGGCTAATTTTCAAAAATTTTATTTCAAACTCTTAAAGAAAAGTAGGTAAGCATCACAAAAGCAAATCCTGGACTGTGCGGCAGTCTTCTAGATTTTTCTGATTTGATATTAGGAGCTTTGAAAGATTATCTCTTTGGAGTGTCGCTTTTTAGTAAAGTCATGAAACACGCAAGTGCAACTTCAGTAGAAAAGCTTATTTTGCGACAAGCCCGATTATTATTAATCATTATTTTTGCAAAGCAATTAAGCTTGATCTGCTTCGGAAAATCACCTTTCTGCAGTTTTCGGCACTTCTATGCGTCAAACGTGTGCAAAAATCCCTGGTTTTTTCCAGGTAATTCTTACAGACTCCAAAGACCGAATCTATGTAATCTGGAGTGAGCGTGATTGTAGCCAAAGGTTTACTCTACTTTATAGCTCTTGTAGCTTTTCAAAGGTGTTATCAAAAAAATTATCAGAAAGAGCAAAAATCTGAATTAAATTACGCAAGTGGTTTATCGATCAGTGTTCTCTGAGTTTTTATGACTGATCAAAGCACCGACAAACTTTTGGGATAACGATTTTCGTCAGGTTGCAAAAATAATGCTTTCTTCTAGGCCTACTTTCCAGACATCTTTTTTCTTTCAAAATTTCTTTTTCAGTATAGAATCTGCACATCATTGAAAAGCTTTCTTTCTTTATCTACTTTCCAACAGTGGTGAAATTGAGCTTCTATCTCATCTGTGCGAATTCCACCCGCATCTCGCATAGCTGCACTCAAAATCAAAATTTCGTTTCTTTAACTCCTTTGGCCACTCAGACGTAAATGAACGAACTCTTTTGAAAACATAACATCTGTAGGGGATGAATATTGTTTACCCATTGCATGTTTAAGTAGATTTTTCGAAATATTATCGACGCCTCCAAGATAAATACTTGCTGCTGGCATTCTAATTGTCAAAAATTGCCCATGAAGGCAATCGCCAAAGCTTCGCTCATTTCTTTAAGCTTGAGATTAGAACAATTTTTGCAGAGAAACTCAGCTGTACAGTGTGACTTTCTAGCTTACCACAAACAGGCTCAAAAAGGTAAACAATTCGGGATTTTATTATTTCTTTTCGCAGAACTCTTTCGTTGTGTTTTCTGTATATATAATACATCTATTACAGGCTTGCAGCTACAAAATGGGCTGATTATCAGCTATAGGAACAAAACTTGAAAGGAGTTGTAAGGTCTCAAATACGAAGTCTGCAAAAGAGAACCTTTCGATTTTTTAACGCATGGTTTTCTTCCCGTTTGCACTATCAGTATGAGCAGGTGTGCGTCGAGCTACGAAAGGCTTGCTGCTTCTAACGGTTTTGACTACTTCAAAAAATATAAGGACTGAACAAAGTTATAACTTTTTAAACTACTAAAAGGGACATTATTTTGGCACCAACCTACAACCTATATTCTTCCGTGCAATGTTTTCCCTAGAAGGCGCATTTAGTTTGCAAAGCATTTCGCAAGCCTATCGATCGTCGGTTAAATCATTTGCATCAATCAGAAATGCTTATTAGTGTTTGCACAACATATGCCACAATTTCTGCTTTGTGCATAGGATTTCGTTCAGAAGTTTTTCGTGTCATTTTACATTCGGATTCTGTTCCACAAAAATTTACAATTTTGTTTCTTTGTGACCATTTATGCATGCAGAGAGCCGGCTAAATTGGTGTGTAAACGCTATAATTTTTCCATGTTTGAATGTCATAGAATCATAGCATCTTGTACCTTGAGCTGTTTTCCGAGCTTTGTCAACGGAACAAAAGGGCGACGACGTTGGAACCTCAGCTCGAAAGAAATCATTAACAATCTTAAAGGCAGCGTCCAGGCAAGTCTGGACGCATGGAGATCTCACGTGGATAGTAATTTTGGGGCCCTAACTAAGCCACTGCCCAACCGGCATTTCATGTAGTGCTCTAACGACTGAGTCATTTTCCTCGCAACTGGACTCCGCGATCGTATTTCGCATGGCATGGCGCAAAGCGTGGATCCTGGCGCGAAACTGCCATGAATCCATGCGAATACGATTGCGGGGTCCAGTTTCGAACGGAATATTTCAGCCGTCAGAGCACTACCTGCGCTGCCGCTTGGGCACAGGCTTATTTATGGCCCCAAAATTACTATCCACGTGGAATCCCCATATGTCCAGATTTGCCTGGACGCTGCCTTTAATTCACAGCTAAAAGAACAACCTCAAGGATATACTATGTAATGGCCCGACACAGATGGTCCAATTTCAAGCTGGGCGTGAGATTCAAACGAACAAATGGCTTGTTGACAGCACACAACCACATTACCCCAAATTTGGTCTATTTGTATACAGTTCTACTCCAAATTACATTATATCAGTAGTTTTAAAAACTTATGTGTTCAAGTATCCGTTCCCTAGTTTGGTTTCTCCACCAACACCAAACCATTTGGATTGGTTTGGAGGATAAGGATCGGAGAGCTCACATAAGTTTTGGACCATTTCAATTTGGAAGATCAGAATGCTCAAAAATCCATCATATGGTGAAGAGAGCGAATACAGAACCTCTAATCAATTGCATCGCCAAATTTTGTATATTGCAGATTCGGCTGGAGTTGGCCTAGGGGTTTTTAACATGTTGAACACCAACAGAGCCTTTGATCAATTACCACGAAACTTGTATTTTTGCTCGTACACTTCATATTTTGATGGGGCGCCAGGTTGCCATTTGTTAGAGCAAAGCAAGCTCTACAAGATGGTTTGCAAAAGTTCGCACCAGCTTCACCCACTCTAAGCTTCCACCTAGATCATACGTACTGAAGGCTCAGAGAAGAAAAGAAAAATTCATATCTTCGTTCAAAGAAATTCAATGAATCTCCGAGTTGCTCACACAAATTGCACACCACAGACACTCACATGTACCTATGCTGTATTTTCTTCTGCATCTAGGAACGTAGAAAGTACGAAGCTATGCTGTTTATACTTGAGTAACTGTATCCTACAAGCCCTTAGAAGTACAACCGTAAATTTCCAGCTTTCCGCAGCCGTAATTTTCATGAAGTATTGATTTTATAATGAAACACCCATTTCGGGAAGCTAAATTCGGTACTTTTTGAAAAGTAGGGCATTTGGGAAGCTGAAAAGTTACGATTGTACTGCAAAGGGCTTGCAGTATATAATTATTATACATGAGTGGAAACAGCATAGCTTCGTTTTTGTATAAGCATAACTTTTTGTTTTCTCGATTTCTAGATGAGAAAGAAATTCAGCAACGGTACATATGAGTGTCTGATGTGGCGTGTAATTGGTATGAGCAAGTTGAAGATCCGGAGGATTTTTCTACGAATTTTCCCATTTTTTTGAGGCTTGAGTACGACTCGAATTTTGGATGCAAACTTACGGTGTGGTCGAAGCTGGTGCGAACTTTCGCATACTGTGTAGAGCTTGCTTTGCTCTATCAACGATACCCTGCAGTCAAAAAAAAATCAAACATACGAGTTATCGCTGTCAGAAGTTCAAGTGTGACAAGACTTATTTTTTTAATATTAGCGACCCAATGCTTTGCTTTTGCATTGTTTGTTGATTAGCACAAAGCACAACTACGAATTTTGACGTGAAGGGGGACTTTGTAGAACTTGTCGAAAGCATGGGGATCTTTTTTCAAATATACATTGAATCAATGCGTGCGGGCCTGACAACAACTTTTCTTTTTTATCGCACATTTTCAGTACTAGCTGGCGTTCCGGGTCTCGCTCGTACCAAAACTAAAGTTGGCCCGCAAAGGCACATAAGTCTTTGGTTCAAAGCTGCTTGGGACTAACGTTTTTTCTTTCGTTTTCCTTGCACTTGTCTGTCCTGCTCCGTTTTCCTTAGCTCGCATTTTCCTTAGCGCAAACTTCATAGCTTCATCGCCTTCATTTACATGACTTTAGGCATATGATCCAATAAAGATTTATAAGCTCAATTTCTCTAAGTATATATAAACAAATCAATAAATCAACAGAAGGGCTCAATGAGTCTGACACTCAAAAGAATGTAGCTGAAAACATCACAAATTTTCATTAACTTCTTATAATGATTTGTACTATTCTATGTATCCTCGAGTCATTTGTAACTCAATATGTGGAAGTGCACACTCTGCCCGGCAAGCGACGGGACCTTACTGGTGACTTTCCAGTAAAACCTTTTCTAGTTAATGAAGCTTATTTTCGTGTCCTACTAACTGACATATATCCAACAAAAACAGACAAACAAATAAGGAAGGAGAATTCATTGGAAATTAGCAGGTTTTGATCTTGGAGTTATTCAGATATCGCACATGGTGTGCAGTACACGTATTAAGTTACGAGACTCGACGATATACACTTGCGATGTATTGGATTCTGCAGTATAAAATCAATGAAATAGCATGTCCCATCGCTTTCAGAAAATCTTCTAATATGATTCAACTTCGCCCTATGGTTCTTCTCTACATCCTTCTTTCTTTGATTGTCGCTGCGGTGGTGAGTGATTTTTTGTTATTATATTATTAAGAGATTATATCTTTTCTTGAATCTTGATGACTGTTAGGTCGCGCTGGTTTTTGACTCTAGTTCTTTACCGTGGATCAACTTTACTCATAATTCTTTTTTTTATCGTGGCTTGCTGATGGATATAATGTACTAGGCTGTTCCAAAAGTTCTGTCCGATTTTAAATGTCTTGTCTGTTTTGCACATATTGCAGTGTCATGAACATCATCTGAAAGCCTCTTCTCTCTCTTTCCGATGCTCGCTAATTCGATAAAAACATTCATAATTTCAAGCCTAGAAGCCAAGTTAGCAAAATGCAGTCAAGCTCAAGGAAAAGTTTTTGTGAAGAGAATTTCCGCAGTGTTCGCAAAAATATCCATGTTTAACACATTGGGTAAGAGTGTAATGAGCTAACATACGCACACTTCACTCATACATACAGGACGTCTTATTTTTTAGATTTATTCACAAAGATTGAAGACAGACTCAATTATTCAACAACCGACAACAATCTATGTATAGCGAAAAGTGGTGTATTCAATATTGCATATGGTAGAGCAAAGCGAGAGCAAACAGAGGTCATAAGTCAATCAGCTTGCTTCGTTCGCGACAGCAAGAAATACCAAAAAATCAGAACGTCAGCATACTTGCGCGCGCGGAGGGCTCAAATGATGGCTTTTCTATTTGTGTGAAGAAAAAATTTCAGCAGCGAATGCAAATTAAATTCTTTCTGGCCCTAAAACAATCTATGAAATATAGATTACTTATGGTGGCAGTCAAATATGTCTGCTCAATCCTATATGGGAGCACTAGCATGTCAGAAAAGACAGTATTTGAGAAGACCTTACAGGATTCTCCGAATTTTCACTTCTCTCCCACTTGCCCTTTACACATGGCTTATTGTGTATACTGTTATAGCCGTGGGACTCGGTCGACAGCAAAATTTGATTTGTTCAGATATTTATTTTGTAAGAAATTATAACGTTTCGGACCAGAAAATATGCAAATTGTGCAGAGCTTTTGGAAATTAATACCAGAAACTCCATTCGAATAGGGTAAGCAATTTTAACTCGTTGACGACAGCCTCGCGCAATGGTGCGCGACACCTAAATCTCAGCTCTCTAATGTGCGCAATCGTTCTGGGAATATGTCGAGCGTTTTCTCGTCTTTTGGCAAACTCAGCGCACTCTGTTGCCTCCCACAAAGAACTCTATTTTGAGCTCAGAGCGCATAGAAAAGGTCATAGATGACTGCGAACCTCAAACTTCTTCGACCTCGGCCCCGATTCCCGCCAGGCAGACTCTCTAAATGGCAAGTGTTAACTTTCCAAAGTATCGGAATTCGTACGAATTCTTAGAGTTCAAGCAAAATGGGCATTTTTTGCCAAGTGGGCGGAGCTTGTCACAAGGGCGGAACTGGCCTCCCAACTGCATATAATACATTCATAAATACATGCATATATACTTGCAACTAGGCAAAGTGCACGTAAACGTCTCGTCCATAGAAAAATGAATAATATGGCTCGTTGTCAACGTGTTGAACATAAAACATCATTTTTACTTATGTCACTCTTACTATATCAGTTGCCAGACTTTGCAGGAGTCTTTCAATGCTGCCCCCGGTAAAGGACAATGTTATGTGCCAAAAGGAGGTGACTGTTATAGATGCGATTGTGTGAAACCAGCGAAATGCTACAAAGGAGAGTGCCGATAAATTAGTGCACTGCCTCGACGGTTCACTAATGAGCAAGTAAAATTCGTACATATCTCTCTGTCGTATGCTTAATGCTCTTGAAAGTATACAATATCACAACGACCACAGATTCCATGCATAAATATTGAATTGAAGGATATTCTTTTATGTAAGGTCTTACATGACTCGGATATACTCAGTCATTCTAAACGGACTTGTGCTCAGTTAATCTGAATTTACGTAACAGCATAAAAAACAACACTGTATAGACTGCTTCGTTAGATAGAGAAAATAAAAAAATAAAATAAAATAAAAATAAAATAAATATAATAAAATAGAATAAGTAATAATAAAAATAAAAAAAATAAATAATAAATATAAAATAAAATGATAAAAAAATAATAATATGATAATAATAATAATATAATAATAACATGAATAATAATAATAATAAAATAAATCTCGAGGATCATTTTTGATCAAAACCAGACCGTAGGCCTTCGATCCCGAGAGATATTTCAAGTAAATAAATCAAAAAAGAAGCCGCTTTTTGATCTCGGTTCAGTACCTGCATATATGCCTTGATATTACAAAACTTTACATTCGTCGCAAGCGGAAAGTATTTGGTGAATGGGCCCTGCTAGCTCCTACTTCAATCTAGCACCTTCAGCGTTGGACCCATCGATTTTCTTTACTCAGAGGAAGTTGTTGCCTTGTGGACAATCATATAATTAGCTTCCGAAGACTAAATCTACAGGCAAGAAACTTTATACATGATGTGAGTTTGTGCGCTATTCATCAAGCCCCATATTCCGTGACTAATAGGAGATCTAACATGGGAAGCGCATTGCGGAGATTTCTTTTGCAAGAACGTTTCTGTTAGGTGAGACTGTACTTCGCCCACGTGGGTTGACCTTAGGCCTACAAATCATTAGATCAAGAGTTCCAAATTCAATACGTATCAGAAAGTGCAAAAGAAGCCCTTTTTATGTACAAATTTTACCGCGGCAAGAATGAAAACCCCTTAAAACCGTTCTTTCGAACATACAAAGACAAAGATGGATAGAACTTATTCAGATAGACGGAGATCGATATCTGTAATTACATTTGAGTTGTGGTCTATACATTGATTGTGCACCTTGATGATTAGGTTGTTCTCCATTCGCGTCATACAGAAAGAATTACGGGGATTATTTCATGGTATTGTTGCAAAGCACAAACAGCCAACAAATTCAAAATACAGTCGTTTTTAGAGAAAACTTGTTTAGTTTTTCTCTTCAGATTTTCTCTGCATTTTCTTGCTCTTTCGTTCTTCCAGAATTTCTACTTGAATCTGTTTGCACATTATGTTTCATATGGCAGTGGCTCGGGCATTCCGAAATTTTTCACTGAGTGAATATCGAATAAATTTGAAAACGGAAAATTTTGAATAAACGAATATCGAATAAATTCCAAAAAAACCCCGAATAAACGAAATATCGAATAAATTCGGAATTCAAAATTTTTTGAATGAATGAATTCCGAATGAAATTGAACCAAAAATATTGAAGGAGTGAATACCGTTTATATTCAAACATTGGGTGTCGAATTTCGAATAAGTATTCGAATAATTTCTCATAACTATGGAACCATATCTAATATCCTGCTAAAATCGGTTCATTCATAGTCACCACCCTCACATCCCTCCTCCCTGCCCGGTACCAACTCCCGCCTTGCAGCACAAAATTTTCCAAAAATCGATAAAATCGATAAATTAAATTTTTTTTCATAATCAGCACTCTCATATACCCTACGGTACCAACCCCCAGCCCCGTAGCTCTAGCTTAAGTTGAAGCAGTTGTGCAGTATGAGTTTAACAAGCAATAGTGCTCACTAGTGTGTACCTTTGCGCACCAAAAGCATGAGCAACGTAAAGGAAGAGAAACAAGCATATCAACATACTTCCAGTAAGTGAACGTGAACCAGGACCACGAGCTCGAAATCTCATTAATCGAAAAATCAAAACCCACATCTATCTTTTTACTGTCGCAAGCAGTCGCGAGTTTCCATACAGTTCAAAGATGATCACGGCTGGAAAAAGATGCAATGTCGAGTTCTGCGGAAAAACGCACACGAGGCGAGCTTGATACTCAGCAGTTGGTTCTGCAACAAACTCAAATAATTTGAATTCAGAGTTCATTCGAATACAAATTCGAATAAACATTCGAATAAAATTTATTTGAAACTCTGTTTCTTGATTATTCGAGTTTCAAATTTTATTCGAAACCCCGTTTTTTGAATATTTGAGTTTCGAGTTATTTTCGAAAATGGGAAAACTTAACGAGTATATTCGAATGTTTTATGAATGATCAAATTTTTACTCGATTCGGCCCAAGTATAATGCACAGCCCTCTAATAGCTGCGCTGGAAGAATGACATTGCCGGCGCTGAGCTCCCTAGTTGTAAAGATTTTCGATAGTGAGGGATGTCTAAGTGCTCGTTGATCGTTACAGGCCTACCGGTTTCGCCTACGTACTTCACATGACTGACACGTCGTAAGTAAAGCAATTAAGATAAACTGCTGCTTTGGAAACCTGTAAAAAGTTTCGGAATCAGCTTGGAAGGCTGAATTCAGATGTATAAGCTCCTGTAAGACGAAGGCGGTCGGATCGATGTGCAACGCGGCTGTGACACTGCTGCGTCACAGCCGCGTCACAGCCACGTCGCACATCGAACCTTCGTCCTGCAGGAGCTTATACTATAGTGGCAACGCAACGTGTCGAAGAGAACTGCTAGGTTGTTCCGAAGGTTTGTATGAAAATTTCATTGACTTTAGTCGTTTATAGTTTTATTACAACACTAACCTCAATAGAGATAATCACCGTGGATGTCAGTAATCTTTTGCCCATCTGTCGGGCAGTTCTTCGGCTCCATTTCTTCAGAAGTCGAGTGGCTGGCGCAGAAAAGTCGTCAAGAGCGGTTTCGACATCGTCTTCTTTTTTGAACCGTTTCCCACTCAGGAACTGCTAACGGACAAAATAGCTTGTGGTCGCAGGGCGAGAGATAAGAAATAAGGCACAGCGCAGAAGATAGGATACTTATTGCAACGATTTGTTAGGCCCTTCAATCGATTTATTGATTTGTTTATTTACATCGATGGTTCACCAACCATTGTTGGATTCCCCATAGTCATGTAAGTTGGGCTGTGAAGTTCATTTACATTTTTCGGCGAAAAGGATCCGGTTTTTCAAGTCAGCAAGGAAGACATCACATTTCGTCGCAGATATAAAGAAGGGCGGTGAGTTTCAATGCGTTTGGGATCAAGTAGTCCAAATTCCGGGAAGGACCGGGGGCGCCATCCAGTTACAATTTCATTTTTATGAATCATCATCATTTGATGTGAATCATTTCGAGTTATGATGAATGCGATACAACAGAGGCCGAGATGAACATGTCATACAAAACTGAGATTGACATGCAGTAAAGCCGAAGTAGGAACCAGCCTTAGGACGCCACCACGCCACGTTCAACCCACAATCGAATGGACTTGCTCAATGCTTCGTTGGAACTTTTAAGCGAGCAATTATGAAGCTAAAGGGAGAAGAAAACTTTTCTGAAGCCTTGTCGAAGCTATTACTCTGCTATCGGTGTACGCCCTCTTAGATAACCGCCCGGGCAGGCGGTCCGCAAACTCGCGCTTTTCTGCAAGCGGTCAGCAGAATTTTGGGGCGTGGCCAAACCTTCAGCGAGCGGTACTTCCTTTACTGTCTAATGTTCTGCCAGGGGGCAGCAACACAAAATTTTCTGTAGGCGCTCGTCAAATAACCTCTTTCAGCGAGCGTTGGTCAAATTTTCAGCTGGCGCTTGGATGGTTTTTAAGCAGTTTCGGGCGTACGCCGAGTAATGATGAGACTCTACATGACAGAGGTGTCATCGATGGTTCAATTACTCAAGTGAGGTATTTTCTCTAAGCGGAAAGTACCTCCACAAAGGACCGCACAGCCCCCAGGCTGCCCTCGAAAATTTTGCATGTTCTTGCGGAAAGTCCGCGAGAATGCGGCCAATGCGCCGTAGCTGATCTATAAGAAAACCGCAATTGTTCTCCAAGCATTCGTCTAAAATTTTGCTAAACTTTTTCCAAATATCTGCAAGCGGATCGCAAGAAATCAGCGAACTATTTTTCCGGTGCCCGCCCGCCCATAGATCGCATGGCCGCCTGCCCTCGGCGATTATCTGAGCTCCCGCCCTCGCCAAATAATCGTTCCCCGGCTGAGATGTTTCTCGGACGAACGACTAACTCCGCTTACACGTTTGGTCACAGACGCTTACACTGTTAAACCAAGCTACTCCCTGGGAACGAATCCTGGGATGAAAGCTCAATACAACTGCAGACACGGAGCCAAGAAGAAACACTCCGATGTCCATGATGTTGTCTATGCTCGCGACTACCGCAATCCAGCAAACCTACTTAAACCCCAGGAATCTTACAAGCAGGATTGGACGCGCTTTACAACGTAGAAGTTGAAAGATTCATATGGAATCGCCATGCCAATCAGCTACGCCCTCGAGAGTTTCCGATGCTACCAGCACGCTACTGGAAGAGTTAAAATTTTCGGATTTTGAGCTCCCCAGACAGTCGATTCCCGCGTGTTCGTTGAAGTTCCTGCCGCCCACGCCAATCATATCGATGTTGTGCCAAATCCTGATATTGCTGCGGCCAATGCCGAATCAAGGGACGCTAATGAATCCGTTAGTCGAATGTCTTCGCGTCTCCGCTCGCAAAGGACTCGTCAACCACCATGCAGTCTCAAGATCGACCCATCGAAGAAACGATACAATGACTAATTAAAAAGGAGATGTTGTAGAGTGACATTAGGCTTTGACCATACTTTGCCCGTGTTGCCGATGTTACCAGTGTTACCGGTGTTGCCGATGTTTCCAGTGTTACTCGTGTTGCCGATGTTTCCAGTGTTACTCGTGTTACCATCTTTATTGCTGTTTATTCTCGAAATGATCGCCAGTACAGTTTCATTCTTGAACGC